AAGAAGCATTTCTTCAAGCCCAGCATCCTATTTAAAAAAAAAACATTTCCACTTTATAGTTGCTTCGCGGGGTCTTAACGTAATTTTTGCCATAAAAGTTTCATTTTGAGGACTTTATGGCAGGTATCCTGAAATTTTCTGCTGGTCAGCAAAAATTCTACGGAATGTTGCCGGTCTGTGAAAAATTTTATGAAAATGTGCTCGTCTGCCAAGGACTTTATTAAAATTTGCCGGTCCGCAAGCCCAAAAAGGCTGGGGAACACTGTGATGACTGTACTTCGTATATCATACCTTATCTGTGCCACGAATTTTCGCAAATTATTCATTGCATGAAATGCGGTTTCCCATATAAATCTCGAGTGAAAATAGTCACGTCACTGAGCTCAAATTGGCTATGAAGATGCATATATATGATCTTTTAGTGGATTATCGTGCGAAAGCATCGTTTTGTGAGGATTACCTTCCATTATTATGCGCCATCATTAGATTCAGCAGTGATGCTGAAATGCCTCACATTTATTGTCAAATTATAATGCATCAAAGTGACTGGGAAATGAGGAAATACGTCGTAACTATTCCGGTGACTCGGCAATCCAAGCACTATTCATGTACTTCAGCGACATGTGCAAGAGAACTACAGTACTTGAGTCATGTGCACATGTCATTCACACATGAAATTATCCGTACATTAAGGAACTCGCTCGACCCATAATCTAGCTCAATTTAAACAAAAATTGACCCATCCCAACACCTACGCTGATATAAATAAAAGTAGTAATGTAGTAATTTTGTTTTATTTCCTAGATGTCGCTTTCGCATTTTTACTTGACACGAAACGAATTTGTTCGATTTTAGATGATAGTGTCGTTTGTCCAATTGAAAATCTTCAAGGGATAAATATAAAAATAATAGTTAATCATCCTAAATTTTTCTCAGGTATTTATCATCGAATGGTTCAAATTTTGAAATAATTACGGCACATGTATATAAGTATACAGCTTTTACTGATGACTTAATCTAGTCCATTCCCGCCAAGAAATTATTTTGGGTTCTTTTACTTTTTTCAACTCTGGCGAAATGTGCTGAGGATGCCAGCGATAAGAAAGCTGGGTTTCATTATAATTTTTTGCGTGAAGACGTTTCATTTAGAAGTGCAGAACAAAATGTTTTCCTTCTATATTGACGTAAATCCGATACTGTATATATGTAGAAGGAGTTTGGAATCCGCTGAGTAACTGACAGACATTCAAAAAGAATCCAAGTGGTTTACAAATAATAACGCCGACAGCGTTTTCTCGACATGAAAAGAATAAAAGAGACTCTTATTCTGAAATACGCATATGTATGTCGCTCGAATTTTTTTAGCATCCGAAAAAAACAACTTCATGAGGATCAAACTCAAATTAAACACAAAACACGATCATCTATTCCATCGAAAAAAAAAAAGACTGATCTTCGCTGCACATCTCATCCCGTAAAACAAGGGTGAATTGAAGCGATTATAAACTCTGCGGCACGATTTGTCCGGATCGAATTATCCGCACGATCTCCGTCCGTCAGTTCGGATGAAATCATTTGAGCATATAATTCATTGTCAAATTATAATGCATCAAAGTGACTGGGAAATGAGGAAATACGTCGTAACTATTCCGGTGACTCGGCAATCCAAGCACTATTCATGTACTTCAGCGACATGTGCAAGAGAACTACAGTACTTGACTCATGTGCATATGTCATTCACGCATGAAATTATCCGTACATTAAGGAACTCGCTCGACCCATAATCTAGCTCAATTTAAACAAAAATTGACCCATCCCAACACCTACGCTGATATAAACAAAAGTAGTGCAGTAGTAGTTTTATTTTCTTTCCTAGATGTCGCTAAAGCATTTTTACTTGGCACGAAATTAATTTGTACGATTCTAGATGATTGTGTCGTTTATCCAATTGGAAATCTTCAAGGGATAAATATAAAAATAATAGTTAATGATCCTAAATTTTTCTCAGGTATTTATCATCGAATGGTTCAAATTTTTAAATAATTACGGCACATGTATATAAGTATACAGCTTTTACTGATGACTTAATCTAGTCCATTCCCGCCAAGAAATTATTTTGGGTTCTTTTACTTTTTTCAACTCCGGCGAAATGTGCTGAGGATGCCAGCGATAAGAAAGCTGGATTTCATTATGATTTTTTGCGTGAAGACGTTTCATTTAGAAATGAACAAAAGGTTTTCCTTCTATATTGACGTAAATCCGATACTGTATATATGTAGAAGGAGTTTGGAATCCGCTGAGTAACTGACAGACATTCAGGAATAATACAAGCGGTTTACAAATAATAACGCCGACCGCGTTTTCTCGACATATGAAAAGAATAAAAGAGACTCTCATTCTGATATACGCATATGTAGTCACTCGAATATTACTAGCATCCGAAAAAAACAGCTTCACGAGGATCAAACTCAAATTAAACACAAAACACGATCATCTATTCCATCGAAAAAAAAGACTGATCTTCCCTGTATAGCTGTATATCTCATCCCGTAAAACAAGGGTGAATTGAAGCGATTATAAACTCTGCGGCACGATTTGTCCGGATCGAATTATCCGCACGATCTCCGTCCGTCAGTTCGGATGAAATCATTTGAGCATATAATTCACTTTTCAAAGCGAACCGACGACAAACGAATGCTCTAATAAAAATTCTTTTAAAATTCATGTTTTGCGTGGGCATCGCAGGAATGATTAATTGTTCACGATGTAGAGATAAAAATACTGAACACTAGCTCAAGCATTCTTTCTACATGCGCATCGCCGTTGATATGCAGATATCCGCCCGATCGTTTGAAAGGTGTCTGAATATTTTTCTCTCTTTCCTCGATACTGTATTTGAAAAGGAGGTAAATTAAATGCACTGAAAGTGACTAGTTTGCAACTCTGGTTTGGAAACTAAAATAAATGACCAGTTTCTTTCGGATTCAGAAAAAAAATAATAATCTGTTCGTCGGTCATCTGAATCAAATCTATGCGTTACCGTTTTTTAATGCTCTTTCAACTTAAAAAAAAATAAAATCCACACAGTTCAGCTTTTTTTTATAGAAGATTTTGAATGGTATTTATGCGCACAATAATCCGCTTAATTTTCCAACCTGCATCTTATTTGTTTCTTGGTTATTGTCTTCGATTAAATTATTTTAAATTAGACCCAGTGGATCAAATAGTATACGTCTTATGTCATACGTCTCGAACACTATATGTTATCATCTACTTGGGAACAAAGTAAGTTCATATAGTTGAGACAAAAGAGATGTAAAGTTTGTCGACTTACAAATTTTTTTTTATCTATAAATAATGATAGAATATTAATCATAAACTTATTGGTTCAATTCTGTTAAAATACAGAATGTTCTATATTCCCGATGGGGAAGAGAAAAACTTGAAAAAAATTTTTTAACCGTTAAAGTATGATTTTATGATGAACTTCCGGCATTTGAGTTGAACGTCGACGATGATGTATATAAACATGAAAACGATGACAAATATTTTTGTTTCATTTCAAGTTGCAAAAAAACAGCAGTTTAGATTTCTTCTCTATTTTATTCATGAAAGGAAATTAAAAATGAATTCCTGAGTTCTACAACGCAATTGAAATGAATGAAGTCCAGCGAGTTATTCCCATAAATCCCGCTGAAGCGGAAATCCGGTCGTCATTTCTCGCGGTATTCTCAGGCACTCGGAATTCTCTCCTCCGATTCAAAAACCCAGTCGTGATCCGGTGATTGACATGCCTATCTCATTCAAAGCGGATCCAATCCTGGATAACGACTCACTCCGAGTTCTTCCTCAGTCCCGCCTTCCCCGAACGAATTCACACCCAATGAACGACCGTGACTTGAAAAAAATATAAGGAACCCAAACACCCTGATAGGATTCAAGCACGTGTATACTGTATAGGGAACCTCGCGGATTTTGGTGGACATCTTCATCCCCTTCTGAAAAAGAGGTGTGGCTAGAATGAATGTCGCCTATATTATATACTATACTGAATATATAACCGTAGCGGAAGTGTATATAAGAAAAGTGCGACTCATTCCTCGACCTTGTTGGGCAGACTGCAATAACAGCACGCGAGTTTCCCAAACATTGACGTCACTGTGTCGCTAATCGTGAGAAAGTATGTCTATGATCAGAGCGGCATTTTTGTAAACGTAAATATTGGACCCAAGACATGACAAATTGAAAGTTTATAAATTCAGACCAACCTACAGCATTTTCTTACATCACTATAGCCAGTTCTGAATCAACATATCGCGCCAAAAAAGTAATAATACCATTTTTGTCTTAATTCTTACTTGGAGAGAGAGGTGCAGTATTTCTGATCGCCTATTGTGAAGATAGGTCTTATATAGTCTAATGTAAAATGAATGTTTAAAAACCAAGACTGGCTTGTATATGTTCTGGAGATGATAAGCACTATTTTTTAATCGCTGAGGAATTTGAGGAAAATGCACGAAAGTGAGAAGGTTCTGATTTTAAATCGATTTTTGCTCAGAAAATTAAAAAACGTTATTTTCATCTCTGAACATCACGTTTCTTAAATCAACCAGGGCTTGATGATTTAAATTTGTATGTGCTGTATGAAAATATTGATGTGGCTAAATCAATGTGTTTAAGTCATATTTTATTTAACTGCAATGCATTTTATTCAAAATAAAAGCCATAAGAGCTCGTGCAGGCTGCATCGTTCCTTCAAATCGTGCATGAAATGTCTTACGATGGATTGATAAATTCTATTTTTCTTCAGAGCATCTATAATGAAGATTTTAATTTTTCGAAGAAAAGTTAATTTTCAATCTCTCTGTTTTTAAACTTAGTTTGCGTGTAAAATTGTAAATATAGAAGTATATATGGTGCTAAAGATTTCTTAAAGTTCCTCTCGGGAATTCTCCGTCGGTCCGCATATTCATCATGGGGAAAGATTTCCAACCCACTTTTTCTTTGCGTGTGTGCAGGAAAATATCTCTTTGGAGATGAAAAGGATTCAGTTTCCCATGGATTTTAAATTTGTGATTTTGCTTGGGTTTGTGTGTGGAATGACTGGAATCCGCGCGGGTGTTCTTTCACGAAGAACGATGCGTTCATTCACGGGGACGAAAGCAACTAATTTCCCGTCTGCTGTTTTGCAGACAGATCGTGCCATTGAAGTCTGTGAGTAATTTTTGCGATTTTCAGGATCTAGATTTGAAAATATGGACAAAGAATTTCGACGGAAAAAGGTGGAAGTTTTTTCAAAAACGTAAGTTTCTAAATGGAAATGTCTCAGCACGTTCGTTCAATATTAATGCTTAATTTGAGCGTCAGATCGAACTTTAGGGACGCAGATATATTTATTGTACACTATTCTCAGTCTGATACATATATTTATCAATTTTATCCGATAAAAATTCCCTGTTGTCGATAATTATGCATGTTTTAGACTAGCTTTCAATTTATTATCATTTTTCATCTCATCGCCGCTCGCCTCGGAACATAATCGGTGCGAAACTCCGCATACTGCTTTTCTTTCAACAAAAATGCATCTAAAACAGCCTCTTTTTTCCTTTTCCAGCTGAATAGTGTCCTTCTCAAAAATCGGATTGTTATTCTATGTAGTCGTTGTCTGATTATACTTCCACACTTGCATTGCCAGTTCTAAAAATGTCGATTTGAAAGCTTCCACAGAATCTTCCCTCTCTATATGTAGTACTGTTCTATATACTGTCGTGCTTGCGACTCATTTATGGCATTATTTTATCATGCTGTATTTCATATTTTTTACATTGCATACTGTTGTTTGGCACTTGCATGAGTCATTTCCTGTTTTGTCATGCATCCTGCTTTAGATAATACACTTGACAGATTTTTACTTTGTTTCTTTTACTACTTTCGTGCATGATTCTGTTGTGGGCGGGGACTGCGAGGTTGGTTATAAGAACTCAAGATGAGTGGCAAGGGACATCAGGGAAAAAAACATCCTTTTCCTAAAACCCGAATTACAGTACTCTACTTGCTGTTTGTATTGTGTGATTTTTATCATGCTTCGCACGTCAATGGATGCTCAACTCAATCAAGGATGAAAGCGGAATTCAATAATCTACTGTTATTTTATAGTCAGCTAAAAGGACGGTGACGGATGAATTGACGGCATGCAAAATTTACTGCATGCTCACTGATGTAAAAAAGACAAACACGAACCAATCCAACTAGCTCATCACGCATCATATATGTCGTACACATGCTTTCTCATTCATCCTTCAGCAGACAATGATTCATGCAACGAAGACGCTGTACGTCCAAGAAATACGTCCGAAGCTTCAAACCGTTTGTCTATTTATGCAACAGTGCGAAGAGTGTCCAACGGTGCGAAAGCAGTCGAACTCGTAGATATTTATTACGAAAAACAAACAAATGTCGTCGAAGCAGAGCAGGATCAGTGGATCGGAGTTTTCAACACCGTGCCATCGGGAAAATTTGAAGAAGTACCGTTCAAGGGACATCTATTGGCGCATTTGAACAAATCCGATGATTCAGAAATTATCCAGCGTGTTGAAGTCGCTTCACAGTGCATCCGAATACGAACAGGAATCCAAGTGCCGATGACGAATGAAACCCTTGCAAAGATGGCGAAGGAAAAGTGCCGAGGGGTCTGGGTGGCATCATTTTCAGGAAAAGAGCCTCTGTTAAATGCAGTGAATTGCCTGAAATGGCAGCCAGAATGGATGGCATCCATGAGTGACTTGATTGGCAATATTTCCTTGGCTGACTTGTTCATCCCTGGAAGAACCGGCTCTTCAACTCAGTTGCGTCAGTCTTCAATCAAATTTGATTTAGCTCACGGCATTCGATACTTTGAATTGAACATCAAATACGGGCCTCATTTGGGATCCAAAAAAGACTTCTACCTCGCTGGAGAGTCCGGGGAAGTGTCCGGAAATTTAGGTGATCACATCGCCGAGATCCGGCAGTTCATGAATGAAACTGAGGAAATACTGATGATCAATTTCGTCCATTTCTTTGGCTTCACCTCCCAAGGAATCCACGATGAATTCGTGACTTTTCTTCAGGAAAATCTGGGGGCTTGGATGTCACCTAAAGCTTTCGAACCTTCGGCTCCATTAAACCTCTTTTGGGCCACAGACAAGCGGCTGATTGTGATGTACAATCACTTGCACACGGTTCATAAAACTGAGTTTTTGTGGAATCCACCAAATTCTGAACTTCCGGGTAGCATTGGTTTACGGGAAGAATTTTCGCTGTTGGCGTTGAGTCAAGAAGTTCTCAAAGTTAATTGCTTCTTGTCATCACCAAACGTGACGTTGCTTTTTCGGAACAACATCGTCGCTGTTGAAGACCCCGTCGGAACGATTGTCGTCGATGCGTCCATCAGAGTGAATTACGAGAAGGCAATTAACTTTCGAAACTCCGAATTATATTGGAATTGGATCCAGACGGAATCGTTGCCAAAGCTACGAGAATATACGACAGCGTCTCGTAAAAATCTCTGGCATTCCGATAAGGTCGACGAACAACACTTGAAACCGATTTTAATTGGGCCTCGCAGTTTCCAAACTTTCACAAACTCGTCTATTGTCTGATTTTTCGCGCATTTCAAGCGTTTTTCAATACAAGTAAAATCTTTCCATGATGTGTATTAATTGTTTTATACCGAGACATTCTCCATAAAAAGAATGTTTTATTCAGCTCTTGTCCATATACAGTAGTTCGATCGGCTGAATTGTACTACTGTATTATGTAACTACGTGCAGCAGCTCTCTTCGGACGGTATTCTGCGGATATAACGAATTCTTTTTTGAATTAGTATAAGAATCTTTGAAGAGTGATATGTAGCGAGGATTGAGGATTATGCAGCATTCGTTGGTCCATATTTTACAAATAGGTTTGCGCCGAAATTAAGGTCTCAGATATTCTCGACGGGTTCCTATAAAAAAAAAAAACATAGAGAAACAGAGCCACGCTTTTACGAAAAATTGGCTTCGTAGAAAAAGTAGTGAAAAATATAATCTGTATCAGTTCGAAGTATGATATGAAAAATCAACTGCTCCAATCTTCCCATCTATATGCTGTATCAAGGTCGAATGAAACAATATTTTACCAGAAAAATTTCCCACATTATTATTGGAACATGCTGTGTACTACAGTGTATTGTTGATGACGATCAAGCAATTTTCGTCGTGGAAGAATTTAATCTCGACTGATTATTCCGGAATTTAGTGCAGCTGCGTGTTCCTTTTTGAATTGAGTTGGACAAGTTCACTTTTCAGAATTCAATACTGTATAATGTTTTCAGAGATTGAAACTGGAATTTTGCACATTTAAAATTGTTCGTTCATACCAGCACAGCCAATTGTCGACAGTTGGGTTTCAGATATAATGGTGTTCTTCGAATCTCATTGAAAACATTCGCTATTGAGACCCTTGTTTGTTCGTCGCGTCGTGAAAATTGTTCCTTGGAAAATGAATCAGTTCATCGCGCTTGCTTGCTGTGTCAATTATTTTAAAGATTGACTATGAAAAACGTTTATCCAAATTAATTCCAGCTGGGAATCTTTCGCAGGTGCAAACGAACAAATTACTAAGGCTTTGTCACCCACAATTTACCTGGCGATCAACCCACAAGCGGATTACAAAACCGCTGTGGACGGTCAAACAATTTTTATTGAGCGCAAAATCGAGCTTCGATGGCGAGGCGGATCAACTTACCCAACGGACGAAGTTGCGCTCTATCTCGGTCATCCTGCGTCACAAAATGCCTCGCTTTTGGTCTCCTACAACGTATACGACCACATCAACAATCGAGTGGTCACAGAGTACCAAATGCCGCGTTACCACTTCTCGGCAGATGATCCGTCAGCATGGACCAAGCCAGAATGCCTCGGCAACTTTTACGGGGCATACTTGAAGGGTGGCGAGATCACGTCAACGAATTGTCTGTCCACTCTGCCCACATGGATGGAAGACAACGCTGATGCGTTCGAAAAGCTAGAGCTGCGCAAAATGCTCATCCCTGGGACTCATGATGCCGGAGCGTATCGGGAATACGATGGCTTGGCATCGGATAATCTCATTGTGAAGTACGCCATCACGCAAGAAGAAACGCTTCTCTCGCAGCTCGTGCACGGTGTGCGGTTTTTCGACCTTCGGATTGGTTGTTATGATACTGACAGTGAATTCCCGTTTTGGATCAACCATGATGTGCTGAAGATCAACCGATTCGACGTGGCCATGGCCGACTTGGTTTCCTTCGTCAGGAACACGAACGATGTCTTCTTCCTGGATTTTCATAGATTTCCGGTTGGCTTCGACTCGTTAGACAAGCACAGGAGATTGATGGAGTTCATTGTTGAGAATTTGGGCGACGTGATGGCACCAAAATCCATGGGGTACAACGTTACTTTCGGCGATATGCTGACTTTGGGTAAGTTTCGCTTCCGATTTATCAGATGCAATGTGAGATTGAATCCTTTACGTCAGACAAACGAATTCATTTCCGAGGGAAAGAGGGAGACGTTTTCTCAGTTGCTGACAATCCTTCGTAACAAAATTATTTTATTAATTTCTGAATGAGTCCTAAAGCTCCAGTTTCTGACTCACTACGTCTACCCCAAAATGCAGACGTCACATGTCCTCAAACAGGAACACGAAGGCTGCCAAAGAAATTTATATACCTGTATGTTTATATTGTATATACAAATATTGTAAATTTTTTAAATTCTCTATCTTATATAGGATAATTCCTTTGACAATGCATCAGCGTATATTTGCTGTAGAGCTTCCGTGGAACAGGGCTTTCAGGCTCAACATATTTCAACACAAACTGCACCGTAATAGTCGAATGTCATAATTTTTTCCATAAAAGCGTAATTGAATAATAAAAATTATTTTCGAGGAAACACAGTAAAACTTCTTGTAATGCTGCTCGATAAAACATTTTCTGGGAATAATGAATGTGAATGCCTGCTGTAAAGCAATCTATGTTCATTTTCGTCGAGTCAATTTCTTTACTATTGTTAAATTAGTTATTCTGGAGCATTTAAACGGCCATTTTACGAGAATCACTTGAAAATTAAAGGTAAGTTCTTCGGGCTTGACTGAAAAGCACGTGTATCTTTATAGGAACCAGGCATGATGATGTGCTCGTATTTTCTGCTTTAAAAAATTTGTTCAGCTATACAGTATCCGGATTGAATTTTTGCAGGGAAAAAAGTGATCGTTGCCTACAACCACAAATCCCTTGAGCACCCGCTGTTTTGGAGAGAGATAGAAGTAGGCTGGGCGGATGCAAACACAGTCACAGAACTCAAATCCTACATGAACTCCTACATTCGAGAAGAAAGGGAAAAATTTTGGGGCCTTGGATTGCAACTGACTCCCACGGAACTAGACGTGATCCTGGACATTCTCGGGGGCCTTCGCAACGCTGCAGATGCTGTGAATCCGAACGTAATTCAATGGCTTCTCGATGACTGGAAAGATTACGAAACCAACATAGTTTCAACGGATTTTTTCCTGAGCTCCGTCGTAACGACGTGGGCAGTAGAAGAAAATAAACGCTTGGCCGCCGCTTCACAATGAAAAATAAATTCCCACTTTTTCATAAATAATGTCTCTCCTATGGCGTCTTATAAAAACTTTACTTTCACAATTTGTCACGGGTGAACCGACGGCCCCCATTTTTCTCAACCATATATCCGTCGCAATTCACAATTTGACGGACGAATTAACAAGTCGCTGGATTGTTTCCCTCCTTCACAAGGCAAGTTTTGATGAAATTGCAAGGGCGATATCCCCTGAGGCAGCAGGAAGATTTGAAATTTTCGTCATACTTCGATGTTGACATTCGAATGCACTTTCAACTTTTTCTCTGATGCCAATTCCAGCGGCGCTGATCTCGTGTGCCACACGAGAACCTAAATATAGTGACACAAGTTTTCTTCAAGTTTAGCTTTGAATGCGACTAAAAATTGCATTCAACCCACCTTAGTGCCCTGATCTGCTTTAATTTCAAGGTCGTGTAAAGGCACTTGCACTTTTTGCAAAATGGTCGATTCTTGGTAGCCTGGAGGCACAGTGTATGAGAATTCTGCGTCTGGGTGATCCAGGATGAGCTGCAAATTTATGGCAAACGCTGCCATATCTAAAAAAAAAGAAAAAAGAAAACGGACGCTCGTAAATTCCACACGAAGCGAAAAGAGCCACACCTAGACAACTAACGGAGAGCGACACGCGAACTCGGAGTAAACCTCGTGTCCGTTGAGGATGAGGAACGTTATTCGCGGAAAACTCACTATTTTTCACACAGCATATGTATTTTTTACTTGTACAGCATTTTTGCCACAGCAAATATTGTATCCTCACTGTCCTAGTGCGCGACCAACCGTGACAAGTTCATTGGTCATGGTCAGTATGTGAAAGTTTCAACTGTTCCAGCTGACCAGAAAATGAAATGAATGTTTTTTTTTAATGCCAATAAACCTAACATATCAGCACAGGTGTCATAAACTGTACCTATACTTTGAATTATACCGTAATCAAGATCCGTGACTTATCAGATGTGAAGCAAATTTATGCAAGCAGTATGGAACTGATTAAATTTAAATTGGGAGTATGATATCATTTGAGATATTCCTAGACTACTCTCATTACAACAATTCCACGCGATCTAATTCATCAGAGGGAGTTTAGGTCAATATTAACTGAATATTGATGACATAAATTTCAGCCCAAAAGTCTCATGCTTAACATTTCTGAAGCATAGTGTACAGCTTTCTGAATCAACTTTGCAAGACTAAACACTTCAGTGGAATGACTATAGGATAATTATTTACATCATATTGTATAGTTGAACCTCAGTAACTCAAACCTCCGAGAGTCAAACACCTCCCTATGTTGAATTTTTTCGAAGTCTCTCCCTGAATTCCCTTAGGAATAATGCATTAAAAACCTCTCCAATCCCCAACTCAAAGGCTTTCCCTCGAAAAGTTCCATAATTCAATTTTTTGAAACGTATTGGCTATTATTTTATTCAGACAGGAAAGAGAAAAGTAATAAAAATGTACTTTGATTTACTTTGAAAGGAAGTGATTGACTATTCGGAAAAATGAATAACCCTTGCCTCCAAGTTCAAAATCCTGTCAAGGCATTTTTGAAGAAATTTAAGGACCAAAATATCACCAATTACATTTTCCTGTACTGTACAGTATTTCTTTCTTTATTCTCCAAACCAAAATGCTTGTTTCCCTCACTTTGAAGCCTCTTCAACTCAATTTTTTTGCTGGTCCCTTGAAGTTGGACTCACACATATAGCGTTGACTAATACAGTAAGTATTCAAGGCTAACAAAAATGGACACGATGCATAAACGCGGTCTCTCACCCATTGGATATGGTCGCTCTGGTTTGTGGACACTGCTCCACTTTGCAACTTTACCATCCTCCCCAAGCAATGGGCGTTCCACCAGCACTCCGCCAACGAATGCCACTGGCCAGGCTGACACGGTTTTGGTGTGTCTCATCTGCAAAGAACAGGGCGAAAATTCGCAGAATATAGTGAACCGCTGGGAATGCCTTGTTCAGTACCAACAAGGTACTGCCGCAGTGTGCAATCAAAAGGCGCTCTCCGTCACGCAGGATGAGAAATTCACGACCCAGGCTCGAAATTCCTTTCACACATTTGTTGCCGCGAACAATCACTGCGAAATGAACGACCTTGGACTAGGTACGAACGAAAGAAAGGAGGTAGAACGATAATGAGGTTCCGAACACGGAAGCTCGAAATGAAAGGATTAAGAAGCAACGTGGTGCAGAGTCTACAGAAAACAATTAACATACGAATATCCTTTATTCTGGCATCTGACAATGCTTATGAGTGTACTGATGTACAGTACTGCTGTACACCATTTCCATACTCGGGCAATTTTCAAGGATACCGTAACATTTGGAATTCATGATGAGTCAATGCAAGGAAATGAAAACTGATTTCAACATCTCGTGATTTCCGGCGTTCATGTGGTTGTTCGCAGCAAAGCACTGTTTATACTGTAACTCCTCTCACATTAACCCATCAAAGCGGATTAATTCCCTTGGAAAGAAATACTAAATAAGCAAAAGGTTCCACAGTATCTTCGGAGGGGTTCGAATTATTGCCTGCATCTATACTGTACTGAACCGCAACTTAGATCACACATAACTCTTGCTTTCAAATCGGTTCATGTTCAAAGTCCAAACGCAGAACACTTGCGATCGCCACATTGAGTTTAGGTTCAGAAGGTGGACCAGCAAGTTTATTTGATAGTAAAACAGCGGTTCGGTTAAAAAATAGCTACATGATGTTACTTGAAAAAACATTCTCCTCAGCTAATCTTCCCTTTATTACGTCTTAAATCTTCAAAATAATGCATTAAATAACACACGAGATGAACAAATTGCGGTATATTGACTGAAGTACCACGCGCCTTCAACTAAGATGCGCACCAGGGGGTTTTAGTCAATTTTTTTTATAAAATTCTATCACTCAGTAAGACGTGCACCCCATTTTCAGCGATACCCTTAAACTAAATGTTTTCTAAAATAATAGCACCAAATTTGGATTTACACACGATTTGATCCTGAAATCAGCCATCAATTTTCTACTATTTCCATGACAGTTGGTTTTTTCAATCGGTCCAAATTTTTTATTAGAATCAAATATAATGTTCATTTAAACTTGAAAAAAATTTAAAATGTATACCTGTCTATGACAAGCCCCCCATTTTCTCCATCTCAATTTTGAGAAATAAGGTACTGCAAGTGGTACTTGAATAAATACAGTAACTGCTTTTACCATATTCTCTGGAGTACCACAAACCCTTGAATAAGACCTACACTCAAGTTTTATTGCTCAAATCCTGGAAAGAAGTCCATCCTCACATAAAAAACGCACTTCAGCTTTATTTCACCAAAAACCATATAAAGTACAAGTGGACTCTCTCTACAACAAAACTGAGCCATGCTGTACAAATAAAATTGTTGTAGAGAGAGTCCGCCCATTTTACCAAGTACAGTACGTGGGATAGTAATCTGAACACAAGTTCACTTGAAAGTTGGATTCAATGTTGTTTTTCTTTTACCTTGTAAATCATAGAATCATTTCAATCATTATGAATTATTTCTTCAAACTTCAAAAATTTCATTCAACTTTAAAAATTGTCAAGTTCGGGAACCATTTTCAGAATTTGTAAAAACTTTACTTCAAAATGTGTACCCAACTAGTACGTGCACCTCATTCACGCCAAGTCCTTGAGGATAAAAAGGTACTCATGGTACTCGCATAAATATGGTAAAGTATTGGGATAAAATGAACACAGGTAACAGATGGTTAATGTCTAACCAAAATCCCACTCTTTAGATTGGCTATCAGCCCATTTCAAGTCGAGACTTTACTTTGAGTCTAGAAAACTCTCCTAAAGAATGAATATTTGCCAAGATTCAGCGGGCCCGGTTGCAAAAAAATAAAAATAAATTGATGGCATAAATAATTTTGAAAGTTCAGTTTCACTGGTTGCTGTTACAGCCTCAACGAGATTCACGATTGTTTGCGCTTGAAGCCCCATACAATGTAGGACTGCCAAATATTAAAAAAAAAAACTTCCGGCTTACCTCCTCGAACAATTGGAGATCATAAGTGTTGTCGTCATCACCGAAAAAGACGACGCCTCGTTTGGTTTCATTGGCATGTTGTCGCAACCATCTCAAACCAGTATTCCGCTGGTTCACCCCGCGAGACACCTTGTGTCGGCTCTTGTATTTCTGCGGAGTCACACGCACAAAAGAAAAATGACACCATTAAATTGTGATCGTTCGAAAGGTAAACTTTCCTTGAACCTTTTCCCTCCATCACTCACTTCTGGTCTTCTGTCTGGTGGAGTTGGAGCATTCAAGTGCGTGTATGACACCCCACAATTCTTCAAGAATCTCGTTACGAGCGGGGTTTTGGTCTTTGAATCCTCAACCAGGATCCAGTGAATATGAGGCACGAGAAGAAACGTGTGACACAGCCAATAGAATAAAAAAAAAAAAAAAGATCGTTAACCAAAACGTTGAATAACGCGCTGATGTTGATGATGAAAAAAAAAAATTCGAACCCAAAATCATCGATACTGTTACTGTACCACCGAATCGCAAGAAAAGTTCATCAGTTCCATAAACTTACCGGGGGTTTCAAAATTCTTGTCATGGCATTTTTGAAACTATTTAAGGCCCGAAACATCACCAATTACAATTTCCTGTACAGTATTTCTTTCTTGCCTTTCCAAACAAAAATGCTTGTTTCCCTAACTTCAAAAACCTCGACTCGATTTTTTGCGGGCCTCTTCAAGTTGGGCTTAGATAGGTTTGACTAATACAGTAAGTCTTGCGAAACAACCAAAAATAATCATGGCATGCGGATAAAAACCTTTAAAAAAAATCGAGTGAACATTTTGAACCATGTTCAAATTCCTCTCAGAGAATGTTTGGAATAATGCATGCACCAGGAGTTCAATTTCATCCCCGTTCTCGTCCACGAATAATGAGCCATTGATAGGCTACTAAGACATACGGTGGGCATATCATGTACAGTACTGTACTGTACTTATTTCCGAAAAAAAATCATCCGAACAATTTCGAAGCTACTTCGATAAACGACGATGATTGTGTGTCAAGGTTGTCCTAGTTACGCGTGCCTTCGATAATGGCTGACAAGCATTCAACCGAGAAACCCAGTCAATTTCGTGGAAATGTTTGCAGAGGGATTTGAGACTCGTCATCAAATTTCACGAAAACCTAGCTTCCCGTGCAACGAGGGGGGGGGGGGGGAAGGAAGAACTCCTTTTTGGCAACAGTTGTTTGGTCCTAACTCAGCTCGCCTTTGGTGATGGACAAATAATCCAAAATTATTTTTTTGAATTTTTTTGCTTTCATTGAGATCTGTCCAAGAGTCTATCTCTATTCACGGCGGAATGTTTTTGAGCTATTTATTTTTTGTCGCTGTTGCTAGATATAGTATTTTATTTGCACCTGTGCAAAACTTATGGCAATTTTCAACGTTTTTCAGCCAGGGCTGTTCGTTGAAATTTTTTTTGCGTATCTCAAAGACAACGTGATACTTGTGGTCGAAGTATTCCTATAATCCAAAATGACATGAGATTCGATTTCCCCTCTTTTTTTCTACTGTGCATTAGCTGAATCTTTCAGTGTTTTAACCTGAAATTGCCGTCTTAAATCTTCCGATGTGTGACATATTCAGGAAGGCCCTTTGTTATTATTTTTGGGTCGAAGGAAGCACGCAAGGTTGTCCTTGCTGGGAACCATCAGTTACTTCTCCTCCCACGAGAGTCATTATCAAAAAAGTAAAAAAAAAAAGTTCACAGCGGGGTGATTTTCTTTCCGTCGCAATTATGAGAAGGGAAAGTGTCCCTTAGTGTCGCAGTGAAATACTGTATGACCCATGGGGCGTTGAGTGAGCAACAGCGACGAACGACCCTTTTTTTTTGGGTATTGATTAGCCGAAGTGTCGAGGCGGGGAAAATTTTCGGCATATGGAGAACGGGTCCTGGATCATGTTGTAGCAATCGAAGAGTTGCGTCACGATATTCAGCGACTTCCGGATTCCATGGTTTTCTTTAAAATCATGATCTCGGCATCCGTGGAATGAAGGGAATGATGTGCAGCAGTTGCGGGTTTTGTGGAAATTCAGCGATAATTTATAATTTAATAAGACATTGTACGACTGTACTAGAATTTCGAATGAACAGGGGGGGTATGATTCAAAATGTTTGTCACTGCCTTGGAATGAAGGTCGGACTACTGTAATATGCAATCAGTTTTAATATCCCATAATATACAGTTGAACCCCAAGGACCCAAGGACTCGAACCCCCCTATAAAAGTTAAATTACTCTGTATGTCAAATTTTTTCAAAGTCCCTCCCCGTGACTCATTTATCCAATGAGTCACTCACTTAGTCTTGAAAAGCACCGAGTTGAATCTATATTTTTATTCCTCTTCCTGTGCTCCAAGGAAATAGCCAAAAAGCCTCTCAAAATTTGAGTTTCATAGAGGTTTGAGGGAAAAATCTTCGAGTTAGGGAGGTCTATTTCACGTGGTTCTAAAGGGAATTCATCCAGGGATTCAAGCAAAATTTATTACAGAAGGGGTTTTGACTTGGCAAGGTTCGACTGAAACACTTCATGATTCCTACCATAAAATTATTCTCAAAAAGTTTGCTCGAACCATTCCTGAGATACTCTTTCGTATTTCGTAATTTTTTAGATTGTTTCAATGTTATCCTTGGTCTACCCTTCTTCATCAAACACAACCTCGATAGAAGGCTTCTTCATTGTTTGTCGAGTATACGTGTGGGGCTCAAGTGGATGCTACAAATGCAAGATAAAGGCAAATGACCCTCACCGAAAATGATAACGTTGCGAAAGCACGTCTCGACCGGGATGATCAAATTTCCATTCGATAAATGTTCGAGAAAATAAGAACGAAAAAAAGGGACGTGAGCAGGGTTCGAGGTACTGTTTGCAATGCAGCCACTTAATTGGGTTCAACGATCTTCCTTGGCCCAAAATCCCGGAGACGAACGGTTCAGCGTTCGAGGTCACGCACGCTCAGCTCACAGCATCGTTTTCAAAAGAAAAAAAAATGATGGGCCGTCTCAGAAAAACTAAACATTAGCTTCTTGCGATAACTCGAAGCAAAAAGTATGGAAAAGCGAAGTTATGAGCGTTTTGCCTCTTGAAAAGTGAGTGAATCGCGAGACGAACGGACTTGATTATTTTCGCAGAAGCAACAATGAATTATTGCACCCAATATCGCAAACGAAATTCATAAGTTTTTAAAATTAATTGCTCACTATCATGAATTATAATCACCAGAGGAAAATGTTTTTCTGCATGTCGCGGATATTTGAATTTCGGTGTTTCCAATTCAATGGAATAAATTCGATCATGATTCGGTTCCCAAATGATGCGTTCTTTTTTAATCGTACTCTTGCATTTCAATATACAGTACAATACTGTCATCTCTAGGGGTTCGAATGTCCATTCTGAAAAAAAAAACTACCGTCAAAAGAAATTGAGACTAAATTACGCACAAATCCTGGAAATGAAAAAAAAAATCACGAGTGGTAAGAAATTCGTGTGCCAGCGTGAAAGAGAATTCATATTCTCGATGGTATCTGAACATTCATTCTTTTACAATAAGATAATCCTTTCTTCAAGAGGCTTGATTAATAACGGAAGTGTTCAGAAAATTCATTTCAAGGAATTTACGACGTACTCCTTCACGATGCTATCAGGTTTATGAATACTGCAATCCCATTTTGCGAATGTCAGCTCTGGAATACTGTACAGCGATATTTCAATTGTCCATCCCTCGGGAATTGTAACGGAAAATATGCATCACCGTACGATTTTCAATATTCTTGATAGAAAATTACGAATGTTACTCGTCACGATTCTTTTCGACGTGAGTACGTCAAATTCCTTAGAAACGAAATTTAATTCTTTTCTGACACGGTCTTCGTCCTTCGCAGTACTTGAATTTATTGGCTTGAAATTCAGCCAAGGTTTTATCCTCGGACGTTCGCGCACGATCACGAAGCTTTTCAGCACATGAACAACGATTTTTATTTCTTCAACCTAGTTCCATAAAACATGTTACGGATCTTTTCAAGTCCAACACGGTCTTTAAAAAAGATCTTCCGCTAATCAATTTTTCTATGCTTGAATTTCCTTTGTATCTCTCGAATTTTGTCGATTTAACATCTGACACCACTGTGAGATCAATAGCCAAGACTCGAATCAAGTCTTTGTTGATTTCCTGAGGAGTTTCTCCAATTGCACTTGAACAACTTCTAGCTTATGAATTTCAGCGAAAACCTCACATTCAGTATAACTGACCGGAAAAATTGCCAGAACACAGTACATTATTTCAGATGATAGTGGTCATCAGATCTGGGATATTGTCGCCGGAAAGATTTTTTAAATATTCGAAAATTCAGTAGCCTTTAGGCTTTTGTTAAATTGATTTTTTAGAGTTGAAATCTTTCCGGTAAATTTATTTCGCACATTCTAAAATGACTCGTTCCATCTGCCCGGGCGGCATATAGGTCAACAAATGGTCGAATATCACTTTATAGCATCAATTTGCATGCATCAATCTTGCATCCAAGATTGTAGGAAAGGAAACTCAAAATTGCAGAAAGTGAGTAATGAACGAGTAGCAGTTGTTCCCTGCGTATTTTACAATTTCATTTTCTTCTTCGCGCGATGTTCTAGAACGGAAACGTTCTCAGCAAACGAAAAATCTGCAGAAAAAAAAACTGCTGGAAATCTCAAAAACCAATTACCTTGTTAGTTCAGCCTTCTGGACATGTCTGGCATAAGTAGGCGTGATGACGAAGATCGTCGGCACATCCGTGGCAGTTTTCGACGGGTCAGTGTCCGGCTCTGGCTGCAATCCGGATGCCAAAGTCCGGCGAACCGAGTTTTTCGTCCCAGTTTTATCTGAATAAAAAAGGGACAACCCGTAACACACGCGTAACAGCGAATTCACCGCGACGCACAGTTGATCAAACATCGGACGGAAATGTTCAACATGATCAGCCGGAAGGGCAGGAGGAAAGCGGTTTGCGCGACACCTGATACGTAACATATATCCGTTGAATCCTGTGTTTTGATGGATGAGGACGAAAGTTTTCTTTCTTTTTTTTTACAGCAGAATTGAGAGGAAAAGCTTTATCGATCTACCGCTGGACTTCATGGAGTCGGAAGAATAAGCACATTCCCAGCATTACCAGTCAATCCCCCTTTCTAACCATCTCACTTGAAAAAAAGGTACAAAAATGCAGTATTGTACAAGATCACCGAACCACGGGAAGCAACATTTATTGCCAAATCGAAGAAATTAAACGGAACGAGACAAACTTTCACTGGGTACTTGGTGTACGCGACGTAGAATTTATTATTACTTAAGGAACGCAGGACTTAAAATATTTCAAGGAATTTCTTATCTGTAGGATAGCAGAAAAAATGAATAAGTGGATTTACGACCCAAAGCAAAAAAAAAAAAAAAAAAAAAGGGAC